GACCGGTTAAATTTACATAAGAAGAATCATGAAAGAAGCTGAATTACGTGCTATTATTTCTGATGTATGCTAATTATTTATATTTTCCATTAGTTATATTCTTTTCCCTTTGTCTTATTTTATGTTATTACTGTCACCTTGCGTTACTCTTATTATTGTTAGCGCTTGTTCATTAGTTATTTTTTTTGTCCTATATACAAGTAGTTTTGTTCTTTCTCCAGTCCTTAATTTTTGTCAGAAAATGAATTCAATCCTACGTTATTCATTAAGATGTTCAATAAAAACACAGTCAAATCATTCGTTTTTTTTTAGTCAACAAAATTACGTATATTTTATTACTCGCATCATTTATCAGTTAACAACGGTTAGCATTATCATAAAAAAATGAACTTACTTAGTATTATCACAAAAAAGTGAACTTAATTAGTATTAAACGTAACTAATTCAAAAATCTTTCAAATAATTTCAGAAAAATTTTTTCTTTCAAAATTTTTCAAAAAAAAAATTTTCAAAATTTCAAAATTTACACGTAATTAAAATTAAACTTCAAAGACTCTGTAAGAAACAAAAAGAAAAATTTGAAATACTTGATATATTTCTTAGTAATTAAAATAAATGCTTCTGACTGGAACATTAGTGCCTTGTTGAGTTGAGACTCTGCAACTCCCGACTTTTGCAGGGTTTTCATAATTCCTAATAAATAAAATGAATAAATAGTCATATGAACTGACATAACAAGCAATTTACATGTTATACACGGTAAACTTGCTGCTAAATTACTGATGAATTGGATTGCCCCATATGAATTGGATTCCCTCACTCAATTACTGCACAAATAATATGGAAGAAATTTTTTGATAAGAAAAAATTCCTCTTAATCACAATAGTTGAAATCTCATGTCATCTCTTTTTGTCAATCCACATACAATGTTCGATCGGTGATCAGCACTTTAACTGTGCTATTAGAAACAACGACTTCCCATCCTATTAGGATATTTGATAATCCACTCCAATTGCAAACTTATAGCAATAGTGATTGAACGGTTGGTTGGTTTTCAACAAAAGTTTCAAGTTATTCAAGAGATTTGAGACGAAATATGTGAAAACTTTGCAATAAAGATTAGCTTCTTACATGTTATCACTAACTGATAAGCAGTAGTGAGTTGATCACATTAAACCTATACAATAGAATGCTATTATTTTGTGATACTTGTATCACTGATAACATACCACGGTATTAATTCGTGGTTGAATGAACCGTTAGGCAATGAATACAATAGTTACACATTTTATGTGAATTTGATTTTGCCCAAATTAATTTTAAAACTTCCAAACAAAGCAGCTTCGTGTTCAGTTTATAAGGGCTACGGGACCTTTGAGGGTTAAGGAAGCTACGGGAAGTTTTCCAACTTTGACGGCTATGGGAAGCTATGGGAAGTTTTTCACTTCGGGGAAGCGCAGACATACCACGAAACAAAATAGAAGCAATTGTATCACAAGAAGTCGATGTAAATATGAACAGAAAAGACATATTTTATGAATCATCTTTTCATTTTTCTTTTTATTTTATAAAAAATAAAAATGATATAACCGCGATTGGCTAACTTTATCAATTATTGATTATCAATTATTAATTTTGCTTCCACCAGACGGTTTTTATCTCTCTACATCAAGTTTGAATCCCTTTTAATTTATTCCCCAAAGTTTCCCAACATTTTGCCAATGTAAGAAATGAAAGATTATAGAAACAAACAAATGGATTTCAATAGTGAATAAAAACCAACAAATCAGTCGATGAATTTTACGACAATTTAATAGATAAATTAAAACGAATTTAAGCAAAAATAAACTGAATCTGAGAAATGTTATAAATTCATATATATTATCCGTTCAAAATTTCATTTGTAATATTCAAGAAATTAAAATGAGGATAATTTATCCATAAACCAATCCATAGAATTTCAAATAAATCATCCTAAACTTTTGAAATTCTCTCTTATTTCTAATAATACCTTTTAGACAAATAATTGTTTACACTGTGAAAATTTATTCAAATTTCAAAATTGTCGTTTAACTTTTAAATGACCTCTGTAATCTTTTCAAAACGATAAATTTGCATTCTTTTTTTTTTCTCTGCTCCTTCAACACAAGAACATTAAGATGACCCTAATGAGTATTTCATTTTAATTTCCAAAATTTCACAAATCATTATAGACATTCAATAACGGAAATTTTTATAATTTAAAAGCACAAAAAAACTTTTGAAGTTTTTAACTTTTGAACTTTTGAAGAATTTATTTTTTTTGAAGAATTTATGCAATTTTTGAAGAATTTATGTAAACAAAAAAGAACTACAAAGAAAATTCACCTTAAAAAATGCCTTAGAAAAAGTATACGGTATTTACTCGGCTCACTTTTTTAGAATATTCATGGTTTTGAATATTATGTGAGAAATTCCTGAAACAGGAGCATGCGCTCTGGACAAATACAGTGTCAAGATATTCGTTTTGTTTTATAGAATGAATTTTGGATTCATTGCAAGAATTATGCCTAAATTTATAAACTAACACCAAAAAATCACTAATGCTAGGTTTAATTTAATTAAGATTTTGTTGCAGAAATTGAAATTTTTTTGGAGTTAAATTCGAAAAGATTCCATAAATGCTTTAATTTTTATGGTTAGAATGCTTAAAGTGCGATTTTAGGATTGTACGGTGTAAATGAATAAAATTAACGGCAGTTTCTTTGAATATTTCACCTGAAAATAATACATAATAGTAGCATAAGGAGAACAAATGCAATAGCTTGAAATGAAGGCCTAGTAGCTATCATCGGCACTGTGGTCGTTTGCAAATCGGGGTCAATTGGTATTGGCTTGGGAGAAAGCTGGGTTCGAATCCGTTCATGAACTGATTTACTCTCTGCGCCTATGAATAAGGACATGTAGAGCATTTCATCCGGTAGTTCCTCCGCTATGCAAACTTGCTCAGGACTACCTTCTTTTCCGGCATAGTAAGCTACACGACCGTCACCTAAAGTCTGAAAATATTTGGTTCTACCATTGTTTTAGATGTGAATATTTTGTTTCCTAAATGAAGCGATAATAGATGTAGGGAAAGAACATGGATGAGATGCGATCTAGTTTGATCCGGTTTTTCGATCGAAAGTTTCAACACTATGACCATTAACTTCAGTTTGATTTAAGGAATTTTCAAAAGCATATATCGTCATAAATAAATTTTTACTTTAAAAAGATAAAGTAAGGAAGAAAACATTGTAATAATTACCTTTTTTATAAGGTAATAAGAATTGCTGAAGGAGAAAGATGAATAGCTGCCTCGACTAAAGTTATTTACTTTAGCATAAGTTGGTTCATAGACAAAAATACCGAAATTACTTTTTACTTTCTGATAAACCATTTCATTCGTCAACATATACATTAACTGAAAATATTTCAAAATACTGATAAAAGTTCATGCTTTTTTTAAAAGAAAAATACCCAAAAATAATAAATTAAGAATTTGACATAAAATTTAATTTGTGGAAAATTTTTTTGATTTAACAAAAAGGGGAAATAATTATTTCTATTTTCAAGTCAATATTTTTTTTTTTTAAGTGACAGAAGGTTTGTACGAAAAACTGTTAGACTGACTTTACGATCTGAATCGTAGGACAATATTTTTAAATTTTTTTGCTGCAGAACTGCTTGCTTGATAAATTTCTCCGTTGAAATGTTATACGTTGAATCATGGACAAGTCCATTTTCTAAAAAATTTTTGCAATGAAATTCATTCATTCAATTTCTCGTTATCACAACTTTAATTTTGTCCAGAAAACTTATGATCGATGTGTATGACAAGAAAAAAAATGTGGAATAGAGCGATGGTAATAGTTTGTTTCTCATTCAAATTATTGCTTGACTTTGACTAATTAATTGACGGTAACTGATTAATTAAATTGAAAAGTTTCGTAAAACTAATTAAATGTACATACAGAACCTTTTTTCTTCATTGGATTAAAATCAAAGCTACAACATAATCACTTCCTCCTCCTCCTCCTCATCTACTAAATAATCTCCTACTATCTGGAAATTCTTCTCCGATGTCATTCTTTCAAAATTTTGATTACAAAATCTGGAAGCTGTGGTACTAGATTCGAGTTTTTCAAAGATTTTCAACTTATTATCATATCTAAACATTTCTATCAGTCCTTTTAGTTTGTATAGATCCAGTTCAACTCGCTGTGACCGAGACAAATTTAATCTTCGACTGATTCCAGCTAATGTTTAGAGTCTAAGTAATAGAATACAATTTTCCGATCCATAAGATCTACTGGGTCTACTGAATTTAGAAAAACTTTGTGACCAATAGTAATGATCTATTATAATTTATGAAAAGTATTCCAAAACACTTTGTGACTGGTTAATTATATATAAAACAGTATGATTTACCGTCAGTGTAAAAGACATGGAGGATATCGGTGTCTACGTCGCTAATATGTCCAATTAATTCCATGTCATCATTTGCAGATGGTTTGATCGAATGTTTTTGCCAAATTTTTCGATCAAATAAACAACTGAGGTAAATATTCGAATGGTTCTGCCACCGGCATTGTCCAGTATAAGCATTCATCTTTTGAGTTACCAATAATTGATATTCTGAAATATCCAATTTTCTCCTATTTTAATAAAACTGGATAAATTGACAAATTAATATTGAATGGACCTCGATATTTAATCACTGGAACATTAGCTGCAACTTTTAAAAAGCTCAATTTTATAACCTCTTTTATATAAAACCTATTACTCCCTCTTATTAATTACCAGAAAGTATTTTATTTCAGAAGAATAATATATGATTTATATGGTTCATTCATTATGCAAATTCAACTCCAATTTATTCATTAGAAGCATGAAAATGAAGGTAAAGACACAAGTGTTGTGTTATAGGTTTTATGGCGCAAATGTCCCAAATTCAAAACTCTTTAAAAAGATACCATTATTTTGATTATAAAATAATGGTTGTGTTGACTGACATCGGCCCAATGAGCCTTCAATTTCTGATAGGTCGATATTACTGTCGACTTTGATACTGTCACCCAGAATGTAAAATATTGCACAATTTTGAAGCATTCCTAGGATCGAGAAATTGTTGTGTCCGATTAAAGCTGGTAATTTGCCGAATGAACAATTTAGTGTACCTGAGTATTAATTTATCATTATTAATCAAAGTAGTAAAATGGAATCTGAAAAGTGAATTGTTAAAATTAATGATGTATGAAATAAACATGAATAAAAATGGAATATGATTTTTTTCGAAAGCTCAATAAAAATAAACTCGAACTTTAGGAATTGAAAAGAAAAAAAAGAAAAACATGCAGAGACTTGTCCGATTGCTAAACTTTATAGTTGGCAACAACAAAAGCAATTCAAATTATATTTATCCAAGATTTAGAAAATAATTATTGTAAATTATGAAAATCAGAAAATAGTTAAAGATCTGTTAGAAACAATAGTGTTTGTAAAGGAAAGAGGTCGGAAAAATATGCAGAAATGGAAGAATAAACTCATAGATGAAATAAGACATGAGAAATCTTGGATAAAAATAAATGCAGGAGAAAATTTTTATAAAAAATTTACCTAATACATTAAACTTTTATTTCGCGTAATGAAAGATTTAATGGTCAAAAATGTGAATAATGAATGGATATGCAAGGAATAAAAAATGACCAATCGTAAGAAAATAAAAAAGATAAAAAGTAAACTCGATAAATACAGAAAACAATAAAAAAGTATGGAACTGATAAGCTATTAATTTAGCAAATATCAAAAGCTTAACAGTAAAAAAGTATGGAACTGATAAGCTATTAATCTAGCAAATATCAAAAGCTTAGTTCTCAAAGAGACAAAAGGGAATTGTTGATACTGAAATAATTCAACTATGACACTTTTGTCATTTAATTATTCTCTCATCCTCTTCAAAATTATTATTATTATTTTACAACTATTCAATTTGAAAATTTCTTGTCAACAAAAAATTTTCGTCTGATAAAAATGATCAAATTACTGAATTGAATTATTGAATTCTGCTCTTAAATTAAAAGAAAGCTTTTGTTATTAGTAAAAGTATATTCATACTGTATTACTTACCAGGTATTTCTTCAGTCTGCAATCTAATTGAAGCAGAGAACATTGATTCTGTTTCAACTTCATTCGTTAGCACTACAATTAAAATGTAAATCCACGATTGTATTTTGTGCATTCTTTCAGTTTCAGAAGGTTTAAAATCTTCGAGTCTAATTAAAAATCTGATTTATGCCTGAAATGAAACAATATTCCAGGTGGAAATCTTATTTTCAATATGAGTGAAAGAAAATGATTTGGGAAAAAAAAAAAAGGAGAAGAAATACGAAATGACAAACGCCTTATATAACTTAGCAAAGTCAATTTATGTATATTAAATAATTATAAGTAACCACAGTATTGTTGCTCGCATGAATAAATTTCAAAAAATTAGCCAATAATTTCAGTTTATATTTTCCAAGGTCAAATTAATGTATTGAAATGGAAAAATAAATAAATTAATAATCGGAAAAGGCAATCGTTGTATGAGAACGGAACATTTTTGGTAAATATGAAAATTTGAATTGTTATACCTTTAGGGATAGGTATTATATTTGCGGGAATAAATATTACACGTATTTTATCTTTAAATAAAATATCGAAGTGTACTTCACGGGAAAGTACCTGATTTATATATTAGAACTTAATTCGGCAAGTGATAGAGAAGTTTCGAAAACAGTCAAATCAAAAGTGATAAAGTACAAATGAACCATACCCGAATTTGATGGTTCAGAGATGATGACAAATGAAAAGGATGGGGTAAGGATTGAAAGCAATTTGAACATTGTCACGATGGATAATTCTGGAAAAGTATGCTTGGAAAGATTAATGATAGCAACCAAAAACTGAAAATTCTTATTTGTACAGCTTTTATGAATTGAGGATTGACTAAAGTGAAATGATTTGATAGGAGAGAAAATAAACATCCACAAAATGTCCTCTTTATTTGATATGTCATCAGCTTATTGAAAGGAAAACTAATCCGTTAAATAGAACAGGAATACATCTGCAGTTATCTGAATTAATCATCTTATAACTAAATTCTTTTAGTACCTGAATCAGGTAATTAGATCAGTTTCATATATCCTATAAAGGTCATGCATGATCTAACGATCAGTTATTAAATGGGATAATTCCTTCAAAACATTAGGAAATGAGGACAAACAACATCTAAACAATCTGAAATAAAAGTATTAGAAGGGAAAGTGCCTCTGTGTGAAATTAACATTAATGTATTCTTCTCTAATCGATGATTACTGTAAAAGTATTTAATTTTCGTAATTTTTCGTATCAAATTAGCACTAATAATAGTTTTAGTAATAAGTCTATTTAAGGATTTCATTCAATATTTGTTGATAAAACATGTCAATAAATTCAAAAAAAATGTCATTCTAAAATGTTTACAACCAACAAAAGCAATTAATCTCAAAAAACTAAAAAAAAAAAGAACGACCAGTTTGACAATAAATTTAGAAAAAATATTGGAAGATATTCGAATATTGAAGAATTAATAGCAATAGTAAATAGTCTATATGGAAGCAATTTAAATTAAACATTTAAGATCAAACATCTTTTTAATTTAGAAATATGACATTTAGGAATAATACTTTATAAACAGGAATATAATTATAGACGATCCAACTTGTTTAAATATGCTGTTGAAATTTGTTTATTAGTAAAAGGCAGCAGGAGGCGATTAATCAGCAATGATAATTTAATTACAACTACTAGCTAAGGAACAGAAGGTCAAATATATTGCATATTTTAAACATATATCCTAATTTAGTCTGAAAAAAGAACATTTCTCCTTCTATTTCAAAAGTTTGTTGAATGCTTGTAAACTTAAATTTAAAAGTCAATTTCTTATATTACAGCAAAAAGTTTGTATAAAGTTATAACCTTTGCCAGTTTGTCATTTACTGAAGAGAAAATCTATCCTAATTATGTGCTACGATATATCATTACATATTTCAGATCTATTGAATATTAGGCTAGAAATGATGCAATCAAGTAAGCCTAATCATTCTAATTATTTGGTGCAATTTAAGATTTAAGTACAATTTAAGATCAATTAAACAAATTTTGCAAATATTAGGGTATGTGTAAAAAAAAGGAGAAAAAAACGAAAGTTTAGATGGTAAATGAAAAAATTTTAGAAATTAAGCATTAAAATTATTTCTTCACTTAGGTCATTCAAAGGATTATTTTAATTTAATTGATTTGAAAAAAAGAAAATGCAATTGAAATTTTGCAAGAAAAAGAACAAAAAAAAAGAGCGTTAAAATCGAAGATTTCCTTATTTATTTACTCACATTTGCTTATTTACTCCTTTAATTGCTGCCATTATTATCTATAATTCGTAATTAGTAATTAGCATGAGACAGGCTGTATGATTCGCAGAAGCATTATGATGAAGACCATAGGATATTTTAAGAGGATTTATATTTAAAATACATGCATCTAATTAATGGATCTGCATCAGATAGAAGTTTTTGATATTAGCGATGTGTTTGAGAGATACTAAAATAATTCGTTCTTGAATTCAGAAACTGGAAGAAAAGAAGGATGTGAACCTGGATAGGTTAGGATATATCCAAGCAAAGGGTAATGAAAATTCAATAAACTCAATTTTTAAAGCTTTCATAAAACTTCAACAACATTGAAATAAATTAATAAATGTTAGAAAATAAAAAAATCATTGCCAGTGACCATTATTACATCATTTATGGTCAGTTGTTTATTTGTTTACTAAGCAATCTAAAAATACCAGTTCTAATTTTCAACATCAATCAAATGTAATCATATCAGTTATTGTCGAATAATGAATTATTTCAAATTCCATTCTCAGAAATTAAATGCATGAAATGTTAGCTCAAATAATAAAAAGAATATTACTAATCGAAGGATAGGAAGAAAGTGGTTGTCCTTGAATCAAATCCGAATTTGTCCATTCCAGACCATTGGTCACTATGTCTCATCATGGATGAAAACTATCAACAGCAACTGCATCGTCCCAAAACGTTACAGCGATAATCCACTTTATTTGTCATTAGTGGGTGTATTCTACTCTTCCAGCTAACATTAATCAAGAGCCACTCTAATCTGCATAAAATTTCAGGATCTTGACATTTCATAGATCTTTAAGGTTATTGTTGGAGAAAAATTAGGAAACTAAAAAGGAGGAAGGAATGAAATTGAGAACTATTAGGGAAATAAAACTTCAAAATAGACAAACGAATTTTCTAGAAATTTACAAACATGAGGAAGAGTTTGAAGAACCTGAAAAGTTGTGATTAATTTCCTATTCAAATCTCCTTCAATGTCCTTTTTTTTCTTTTTTTTTAAAATTACTAATTGTTGTCCAGCAATGTTAGTTTGTAAATAGAATCATTGCTAACATCGTACTATTTTGATATTCAGTTTTGATAAATTAAAAATTATTTAGGACATTTACATCTTTATTAATTACTTTTACTTAGTTACAACAAAATTAAATTTTGTTTATTATATGAAATTAAAATTAAATTTCGAAAGTAAAATGATAATTAAAAGATGATTCTTATTAATTTGTTTTTCGATGATTAAGCATCCTTTGAAGTCAATTCAATTGAGATAAGAAAGTTGGAGGGTATGCTCATCAGACATAGCAATTATTCTTGTGCATTATTATGCACGAATGACTGTAAATGAAAAAAGGATAAAGGTAAATGACAAAATTTTGTAGAATTACTCTTTCATATATTTGCATTCAGCTCTTAACCTCCGAAGACGAATTGGTCAGTGTTTACGTCGTTAATGGTCAGTTGAACAGGCAGGTTGCGATAAACATCTATTAAGTTCTTAATATGAGGAAAATGATGGCTATTGATGACCTCAATTTTTAGGCGCAGTTATCAGGACTATATGACAAAAATACCATAATATTTTGGTACAGTTCAATTCATCAGTAACATTAAAATAACAGTACCAGTAATGAATGGGTCAAATTAGTTAGGTCAAATGCTAAAATC